CCCTGCTCGGCGGTGCGGAGCGCGACTGTCTCTCCTGGAGGCGGGGCGGTTGTCGCCGTTGCGGGGGGAGGCGGCGGCGATGGCGGCGGCGGAGCAGCTGTACCCGCGGAACTCCATCGAAGATGACTTCAACTACGGCACCAACGTGGCCTCGGCCAGCGTCCACATCCGCATGGGTAGGGACTGGGGACGAGTAGGGCCGCCACACACCCCCTCCCCCGAGAACCCTCCCAGTTAGTCCCCCCGGGGGAGGCCTGTGCCGCCTCCCCTTGCTGGGCCGGCCCAAAGGGTGTCGTACCCCAGCGCTCCCAACCAGTTCCACCTCTGTTAAGCTCACCGTGGCCTGTGGCGTTTAGCGGAACTCAGGTTCAGCGCAATGTTTTAACCTTCTGGGCGAAGCCGTGAGTGTGGAGCCAAGGCGTTGCTTGGTCCAGGTTAAGCGTCGAGGATGAGAGAAAGATCAGTGGCCAGCGAAAAACTGGGTTTTATCATTTCAGTGTATAGGGGACAGGTCTTTTTATCAGAGGGATTAAACCCCTATAGATAACAGGCTTGATTTTTTTCGGGGCGATGCATTTTGAAGCCCAAACATGATACATAAGATGTATAAAAGCTAAAATTGGTACTCATAGTTACAGTAGTTTAGCCAGGAGACTGAGGGTTTTGAATTTCATCTGTGAGATGTTAAAATACTGTGTCTTCTTAAGCATTTGATGCTGTAAAGTCGTATTACTGGCCATGAAATATTTCTTTACTGTTAACATGCAAGTCTTCTACTCTTGTAGAAGGTGTTTAATCAGTAACCCTTGCTGAACTGGATGCATCTTGGAATAAAAACAGCTGTGTGTTTGTCAGATATTTCTGATAATCAGGAGACCTCTTCCCATAAAAATACAGTTTTCTCATGTTTGGAAAATAAAGGATGCCTTAGGAAATATGAAAGTATTGCTTTTAGCAAAATTGCTAATGCATTTCATAATATGGAGAGAGTGGGGAGAAGGCTATGCTAGCTAGCAGGCTAGTTCTAGGTTTGTTCCGTTTATTACAGCAAAGTAGGCCCCAGTCCCTTGTGGCTTACCAATAGATTTGACTTTGGCTGCTGCAAGTTCCTCACAGTATGCTCTCTTAACCTTGTTTAGACTGTGCTGTTAACGATTGAATTGAATCTCCGTGTAAGCATATTCTTCCCTTCAGAGCATCTTGCCTAATGGACTCGGTCTCCTTCCATTCAGAACAGAGAATATCTGTGTGATATATCTGTATGTCCTGAACCACTTTCCACTCTTCATAATTATAGAATTATGAAGCCTTTTAGCTTAATTTGGTTTTTTAATTTTTTTTTCTAGCAGTCTGTAGCTCTAGATTCCAATTCAGTACAATGCAAGTGGCAAATGGTGATAGATGATATTTAACATGTCAGAAAGTTAATCAAATAGATACTACTGTAAAAGTTTTTCCTTTTTTAACTTCTATGACTGTCTCTGCAGAACCTCCAAGTTAATCTTTTGTCATTTAGGTCCATTAGATACCAGTAATGTGATGGGGAAGGTATACTGTTAATTTCTTAGTGAGACTAGGCATATGTAGTTTTTAAGATAGTCTGAAGTAAATTCCTTGCAAACTTTTTCGTATTTCTTTTGTCATTGTTGTTTAAATAATGACGTTTAGGAATAAATGGCTTCTTAACACTGTACTCTGTGCTTTTTCACTGAATTAAGTTTCTAGTACTTCCTGATCAAATAGAAAACTTGCATCTGATGTACTGTTGATCTTTGTAATGCAACTCAAAAGTGGTTTCATTTTTATTTTCCTTATTCTAGCTTTTCTACGGAAAGTTTACAGCATTCTTTCCATTCAAGTTCTTTTGACCACAGTCACATCTGCAATTTTTCTGTACTCTACTGGAGTACAGGCATTTATTCTTGAAAGGTAAATACTAAAATGAAATGGGGCTGTTTTATTGTGTGTTAAGTATACTTTATGTAGTATTTTGCTCTGGAACACTTCAGGATTCCTAATAAGGTTTATACCCCGTGTTTTTATTCTGTAATAGAAATTTTGTAACCTGATTAGGAAATAGCATT